AAATGGCTTATCTCTTAGTTTTACATTTAAGAGTTAAAAAAATCTATGAAACTGATTATACATATATATGTACACACACACACACACACACACACACACACACATGGTTATAACTGAATATCCCATGGACTGCCAAAAAACAAGTCTGTCTTGCGGAAGTACAACCCGGCTGTTACTCTGAGACAAGAGTGGTGATGGTGCGTTTCACATACTCAGGGCATGTTGTCAGGAGGGGCCAGTCTTGGGAAAGGATATTATGCTGGGTAAGGTGGAGGGTCAGCGTAAAAGGGAAAGACCCTCAAGGAGAAGGACGGACACAGTTATTGTAACAATGGGCTTGAGGTTATCAGATGTGGTGAGGATAGGGCAGGGTTCATATCTGTTGTTTATAGGGTGGTTATGAGTGATAGTTGATTTGATGACACCTAATAACATATATATTCATTTTTAAGGCTTGTTTCCAACTAGTGAGCTCAGTCCCTTGGAACCTAATTTACCAATGTTACCATTAGTAAAACAAAAGCCATGCAATCAAATCAGATGATGGGGATTGGCGCCCACATGCGCAGTAAAACAAGAGACAGTGTGCCCGGCTCCAGCAGGGAACCGTCAAGTCTCATTAGGCCCGACTAGCCTCAGAAATGCTCAGCTAGATGGTAAATGAAAAACTAGACACATGTTTTCGCCGCCAAGCACATATTCCATGCACGTTCTGAGGCCATAACCTCAGAGACAGTGAGAGCATTTAGTCTAGCATGCTTCCTGAGTAACACTCCCACTGTCATAAAACTGACTGTTGTAGATACAGTTCTAACATCTCCTTTTCTTTCAAAGGCAACACGTTACATTCATTGTTTGAGGAAAGTCCTGGAGGCCCCTGCTAAGTTCTGGTTTTGCTGTTGTTGACTCTTCCGCTTGTCCCAAGCTGTGTTTTTCATGATGTTCATGTTAATTATATTGAGTGGGCACTGGGAGGTCTGTCTCTGGAGGCTGCACACGAAGCTGGGATGACATCAGGCACAGGCTGCACTAATGGCCTCATATGTGTGGTTACCGTCAAACTCCTTCACAGCCATGCTCACATTGCAAAAAGAAGGGAGGATGGAGCTGCCCTTAAACCCACGACACTGCTAGGATGAGTAGGATGAGTTCATTCCCATTAATGCGTGCATGCTATGCCCCAGGTCTACCTTGTCCATTCCAGAAGGAGGGAGAATTCCAACTGCTAGAATCAAAAGGTGACTGTGAAGGAATTTCACATCTTTAGTCTCTGGAATCTATGAACAAGGGCCAAATTATGAGTTGCAAGTCTGTTGTGGAAAGGCACAGAGAGGTTTACTTCTCATCACCTTAACTGCCACCCATTGGTTTCTGAATGGTTTTCTAGTTTTCATTTAAAGCCATCTTTGTGGGACTGTAATAATCTTTCTGTTGCTTAGGACATAGAGTATCTAATTTTCTCCCCCAAAAATCTGATGTCTAAAAGTCAGTGGTAGGTACCTCAGAAAGTGATTGTGGGGTCTGTTCTAAAAGCAAGGGCTGAACAAGTTTTCTGAGACTCATAGCAAAACCTCTGAATTCTAATAGGCTTTGCCCATATGGTTAATATTTGATTCTCTCGGCACTGGTGGCTGGTCCTTACGTAGGAACTACATCTGCTTAAGAGTTAAAACAGGTGTCCTCACCAGCCATAACAAGGTTTCCAGAGGCGATTCAGGGGCGCCTGGGTGGGAATCACTTCATGTAACAGAAACAGTCTGAGCAGCATGAAACCCAGTTCCAAAGCTAGACACAGCAGAAGTGCTCTAAAGAATTCCACTCACAAGGAAAAGATCGAATAAATACAAGGCAGCGTGTCCTATAATATTTAGTATATGTTCGTTCCCTTATTAGCAGGACTCACCACGACTTCATGTGGTGCTGGTTTACATGTAAAATGTACCTGACCAAAAAATAAACATCAGAATCCTTGACTTTCTAAAGAAATAACATAACCTTAAGTTTAAATTGCACGTTGTTCCTCCAACACACATAAAGCAGCAGTTGAGTAAGAGAGTCCTCCTTAAAAAGAAAGGGGGAAAAAAGCAGGCTCTGATCCCACTGTGTCATTCATATTCCAATCCAGAATCACATAGAAATTCTTCCAGTACTTATCATGGACTTGCTATGTGTGGTAGATAAAACGAGAACCAACTCCCCCTGCCCCATGACATGTGCATCCGAATCCTGGAAATACGTGACTATGGAGGATTACAGGGCAAAATGTATTAACACTGAAGATGGAATTAATGTTGTCAATCAGAGGCCTCTTGGGATGGATCTGTGTGCCAAAGGCATGTGGTATGAATTCACCAGCTGCTCCCTGAGAGAAGTATGGGCAATCTCCTTCCCTATGATCAATTTGCTCTGAAAACCCATAGGAGGCTCAGCTATGGGTCAGTTCTGACTCGACTATACATAACAAAATCATTGAATAATAAAGGGAGATATCCTAGATTTTACTGGATGAAATCAATGTGATCTCCCTGGTTTTAAACGTGAAAGAGGAAGGCACAAGGAAGGGAAAGAGACACAGAGACAAACAAGGTCAGGGGGATGCGCCCGTGAGGACTTTGGGGATGGAGGAAGGGTGCAAGCAGCCCCTAGAGGCTGAAGCCAGAAGAAATGCAATGCTGCGGACACCTTGCTTCCAGCCCTGGAAGACTGAGTTTGGAGTTCCGGGGGTGGTGGTGGTGGTGGTGGTGGTGTGTGTGTAAAAGGTTAAACATTCCTACTAGCCAAAAAGCTGGAGGTTTGAGTCCACTCAGTATACAGGTAGGGTGATCCATTTCCAAAGAGTCAAGCCTAGAAAACTTTGTGAAGTAGCTCTGCTCTGTGTACATGGGTCATCATGCAGCAGCATCCACTCAAAGATAGCAAAATAAAACTAACTTGGACAGACCTACAAGGTGACCAGTAAGACCAGCGAGGTACTTGCTCCTTAAAATAACCAAAAAATACACAGTTATTAGCCCAAGAAGAAAGTCCCAAAGCAGGAAGAGGCAAGATAGACGGATTAATGGAAACAGGGTGGAAATGGAACAAATGCTACGAAATTGTGGGTACTGTACTCAATGTTACCAAAAAAAAATGTATGAAGAGCTGAAATTCAATTTGCTTTGTAAACTTTCATTCAAATCACACACATACCCCTGTCTAATGAGAGGGGAAAAAACAAGATGTGGAGGCACAAGGTCCTGAGGGTCTCTCTGAAAGGTCTGGAGGGAGTAAGAATAGCACTGCCAGCTCCACACAGTCCTGGAGCAGAAAGCAGGTAGAGCCCTTAGCCCAGCCACATGGTGCTTCTAGGGCCCACCAATAGCAAAGGGTTCATTTATTCGTTGTTGACTCAGAGTTATGGTACTAACAATGGGGTTTATTAAAGAAGTGAGTGGAGGAGACAATATCTCACAACACAAGTCTAGACTTTAGCCCAATAGTCATAAGGCACAATTCCTTAGGCTCTGTTTTCAGTTCAACAGTCAAATCCAAACCATCCAGCAAAGTTAGCTTCAGAGCAGTTATAAGTCAGTTTCTCCTTCAAACATCCAGCAAGAACAGCCAAATCTCTAACTGTGGCCAGCACAAATGCAGGAAGGCCCAGGTCACACCTGCCCACAGGTTCTGCACAGCAATGCCACAGTCCCTCCACCGCCAGGGACTCATTCTCACCACAATCTTGCCACCACAAACCTTGTTCCTCTCAAGTCTTTTTCTGCAGTATAAGCAGCACTTTCTCTCATCCTAGTCTCACAGCTGATGCTGAATTGCAAGACCATGTATGTATCTCTGCAGTTAAGGTAGCTGGAGACTAGAGGCTAAATGGCTAAAAAAAGCCAACTTCAGGCTAACACCACAACCTCACCCCCAAACCCAGAATAAAATAAACTGAATTGAAACTTCCAACCTCCAGAACTGTAGACAGCAAATTTGTTATAGCAACAGTGGGAACCTAACATATCCAATTAGGAAGCAGAGACCAACTCATTTCTAGAAACTCGACTGCATGCAACTTTAGGATAAATTGGTACTTTGAGTTTCTTTGGCAAGATAGCCTATTCCTTCTCCTTTCAACCTCCTCAGTTAAATGTCAACTTTTAGTCATGTCCTAATCCAGGAAAAAGGGTAACATCAAATTGTATGTCATCTTCTAGTGTGTTGACTGGTATGATTGGAAAAGCAAATCCTCCTGATATTACTGCAGAAGAATGTAGCATTATAGTTAGAAACACAACCCCTTTCTAGTGGACCTGCATTAGTGTGTTGTTTTTTTTAAAAAAAAAAAAAACCCAACACAACAAAAACCCTGCCTTTTCAGCTTCTCTGCTCTTTTTCTTTCAAAACATCTCTTGTGTGCTTTGAATGCCTGGTTAATCTCCTGAGATTATCTGACGCTAGAGAATTCTGCCTCCCATATCGTGCAGATTTTTGTACCATGCCTCAAACATAGTTTAGATACTTGATAATACTACAACTAGCACAACAGTAAATTGTTTTATGTTACGAGGTAAGTGATTTAATTAAGATGCTAGGATGATACACAGATAATGTAAGAACATGAATAGATTTTACAGGCAATTGTGCATAGTTGGGTTGGTTTTTTTTTTCCTCTTTGTGTTTTTTTCCTTAAGAAGAAGGAGGGGAAACACCCTTGTCAGAAATCTTCTAAGTAAATGAGTATGTTATGGACAAAGGATAAGGAGACTTTTTAGGTAATGATCTTCTGGAATGCTCTGGGAAGAAAGACATGATTAAAGTCAATGCGTGCAGATAAAGATGTGCTGAGTTCTCTTCAATCCCTGTGTCCCAAGGGGTCAGGAAATGGGATTTCTCTAGCAACGAATAAATAAGGAATTCCAGGCAAAGGGGAAGGGGAAGGCACAAGCACACTAGGAAAACCTGCAAGATAGGAAGGTGTGGTGGTGTGGCCCACCGCATACAACTACAAATAAAACACTTACCCTCATGTCTCCGTTCACAGTTTTTGGCATGTGATTGAAAGCATGTGCGGGGTCCTTGTTGTATACTTTAAGGAGAGATCGGTCCTGGATGTTCCTGCAATCAAAAACATCAATAACTATGGCAGATGAAAGGAGCCGGATTTTGGCCATTTCCTTTGTCTGTCCTTCAGAATTGGGTAAAAAACATCAAAACACAGCCAGCCCCACACTGTCTGTACAAGTCACAGAAAGTTCTTCCATAGGCTAGGCAAAAATAAATAAGAGAACGAAGAAAAAGGACTTCAGCGGTCCCCTTATCTCTTTCTCCCCCCACCTCATTTTGTTGTTTTGTTTCTCAAGGGAACTATTATCCTTTCAGGCTCATTCTCCACTCATGATTTTGGGTAGCATGAACTTTCAAGACTCTGAACAAGGAAACTTAACCTTTTCAGAACAATAAAGCTCCAATATTTACAGTATGTTCAAAGAGATTTAGTTAATATTTAAATATTTAATTGTTTACTTTGCTCTAACACCTGGGTTTCTGCCTCTCCAAGAAGCACAGACAAAAGAAAAAACACTTTTTTTATCTCTTCAAACACTTTGAGCAAATGAAACAAAATACATCCAGGGGGGCAAAAGTATAACAGAGAACAAAATTAACATCTTTACAATATATTTTCCTCTCCTGCAGTGGATTTAAAAAAACAAAACAAAAACAAAAACAAAAACAACCACCTTAAAAAAAAACCCAAAAAACCAAAACAAACCCAGCAGACAAACTGCATTTCTGAAGGAGTTGGGCATTTAGGAGGAATATTTTGTACTATCCGAAAGATCTGATGCACAGGACTCTGTAGGGCAGAACAGAGCTGCCTCTTGCGTTCTAAGTCTGCAATCTTCACCTCTTTCTCCCACAGAGTCTGAATTGCTGACCTGTAGGCGAGGACCCAAGTGATTAACCCTGGCACCACCAAGGCTTCTCTTAGGAGGAACAGAAATAGACAAATTCCTCCACTTGCCAGTCTTCCTGAATTCAAGCACTTTAAGCTCAGGAGTCACACTGCTGCAAAAGACAGAGGTACCAGCATTTTGCTCAGAAGCCTACCTTAAAATTAATGAGGAACACAGGAAGGCACGCATAGAATCCTTCTCCTCCTGTAATACGGCCACCCAAACGCACCACCAGTCTGTCTACACTGTGTGCTGCCAGGGCATCTACACTGGAGAGATGCCGCTCAGCCCTGTGCAGGGAGGTGTGCGCAGGGGGCCACATTCCTTCCCTCCAGGTGCAGACACACGCTCAGTGGGCTGATCTCAATCACTGGGATTACTTGCTTTGGGTTTGTTTTAAATGAAGTGGAGGAATCTTGGACTAGCCTTGCTTCTTCCCTTTAAATATCCATCAGTAATTGCTTTGAAGCACTGACTAGTCCAAGCTTGCAGTGTTGCTCTAGGTTTCAAGTAACTCATTAGTCTCCTTAAGGGGGAAGCCATCCTTGTTATTAAATGTCTAGGTTAATATGAAGGAGAGTTCATAGGAGGTAAAGAAATGAAGATTCATGGGAAAAAACTCATCCTTTATGAAAGGAGGGGAAAAAACCCTCTTTGTGGCAATGTGCAGAAACAGAAAACTTTATTTAAGCCTTCCTGTGATTTTAAAGGTATAAAATACATGATACTGGTTTATGATTAATTTAGAAATATGTTCATGTTAGACCAACAATGAAACTCCGGATTGTGTTTGCCATGACAACATTCACAACATAGAATTCCAACTTGAACTTTCTATAGCATTTTTCGACAGGAAATATGGTAAACTCAAAACAATGATGAAACAGCTAAAAGCTCAACAGCTCTTCACTTCAAAAGGATATGAAATGAAATTTGTCTCTAGGTGTTGAAGGCCAAAGCTACTGTCTTCTATAAAAACCCACATGACGCATTCTTTTTTTGTTATTGCTCTTATATATTGCTGGCAGTTTAGAATTTATTCTACCATTCGAATAAAAATATAACTCAGCCATCTTACGCATAAGAGCAAAGAAATAGAAGTCCTTTGAGTGTAAATGTGATTGCTAAGTATAAACTTTATATTCAGCATCAAATAAGAATGCTTCCTCCACTTAACCATTTTAAAAGTGGAAAAAAATCAGGCTACCAGTGGCACAGCTAAAGAATCAAGAGGACCATCTTCACAAATATGTTAATTGAGAATTATTGGTATGAAAGGATCACTTCTCTCAATTGCTTCTTTGATCTACTTTAACATTTGAATATTCAATTAGGGGAGATTTACATTTAGAAGTTTATCTTCCCTTTTTATCTTTCCTGACTGTCATGAACCCATTACACAGGCAAGGGGGAAGAAAAGACATCGTAGTAAAATTCAAATAATTTGACTTTTGAGATATCATTGTTCTATGGCAGCTCATTATCATATTAAAATCCTTTCATAGACTTCAAGACAGAGGAGTCAGACTGTAACTCCCGGTCCTGAGTACTATCAACAGTGACTTTCTTCAGTTTCACACTTTTTAATTCTTATTGTATCCCTCACATCCTCTAATTGCAAAGCACAGAAATATGCATGGATGGTTAGTGCAAAGCAGCATTTCAGTGTAAAAAAATATCGTGTGGTATACTACTATAAACATACTCTTTAAATATAACATGATTATTTCACATTTCAGTTTATGTCTTACAAATTTAATTTTTTTTTTTGGTGGCAGCTTGATGAATAATTTATTTCAAAAAACAAACATAAATTTTCTGATACCATGAATATTTAAACACGTTTGTAAAAAGCAAGAAGGTTGTGTAACAGATGTAGCACCTACACCTCAGGGCATGTGTCAAACTTTGAAAGCCCTAAATTACTCATACACCTCAGCACATGCCTAAATATGTCATATGTGATCATTGTTAGATATTTATTGGCTTACATTTATTTTGCACTGGAGGCATTTTTTTTTTAAAAGGTGGTATCCATTCATTCCACTGTGAAGAAACAGGGTAGCCTGCTATTCCTATAGGGGCAAAACCAAAACAAATTCACTGCCTTCAAATAGATTTCCACTCATAGTGACCCTGGAGGATAGAGGAGAATTGTCCCGTGGAGTTTCCATGGCTGTAGTCCTTATGGAACCTGACTGCTTTATATTTCTCTTGAAGAGAGGCTGGTGGGTTTGAATTGCTGACCTTCTGGCTTACAGAAAGGCATTTTAAACACTGTGCCACCAGGCCTCCCTCCTGTGGAACAGGTCCCCCAAATCTCAATTTCTGGCATAAATGTGTACATGAGAGGTCATTTCTAAAGAGTCCAAATGTATTCTCAACTAAGAACTTAGAGGATCAGGGTTGGGGCTGAGCCTGGAAGCTAATAGGCTGTGTGAACTAACTGTGTGAATTGAAGCAAGTTTTTTAACTATTATACGCAACAGGACAAAAATGTTTACCAGCAAAAATGACAAGGCTGGGTTGGTCACTTATCTTTTACTGTTTAGGCTATACTAGTAACTGCTTGTTAGTGTTGGTTAAAGTCCTGTTTCTCAGGTTGTTTTGCTGGGACAAATGAAGGAGTTTTTCTTTTGCTTTTCAAGGAGAGGAGCGAACAGGGTGGGGGGGGGGTGGAGAAAAGTGCAACAATGAATGAATGGAATTCCAAAATCTGTAGATGTTCCTTGAAATTAAAACAACAACAAAAAAAAACAAAACAAAAAAAACCCCAAACAAACAGTTCCCATCTGTGCAACACACAGCACCTTTATATCCATAAAGATACTTCTACTTTTGTGCCATTTGCAATCTCATGGGTCTACTCAGGACATGCATTCAACTGGGGCACTAGGGAAAGCCCATAAGGAAAGTGAGATATCTGAGGTAAAGAACAATTATTTAGAAACAAATGAAGGTATGAATGTCTCTTAACTACTAATTAATAATAACAGAGTCCATTGCTACCATTCTAACATGTTAGAATAAGAATAGTAGGCAGAGAAGAACCTTTACTAAAATATCCACAGGCTTTGGCTGTGGGAAGAATACTTGAGAGGAAGCTGGGAAATTTCTGGGTCTAAGTACTGCTTCAAATCTCATGGCCTTGATCAAATTTCTCCACATTTTGTGGCCTAACCCTCCCAATTCTTAAAAGTTTCTCTAACTCTTAGATAAAATACTGGATGCTTTCTAGCATTCCTTCCAGAGGTACCATGCAAAAACCTAGGTGGGGGAAGTCTAAATTCAAATTTTTAAGTTGCCCTTTTTGAATAAAATGTGTAATTTCTACTTGGGTAAAAGAAGTTGGCCAATTAGGATAATTATTACTTTATTCAGAGGGACACTAAGAAATTCAGACTCCACATAGATCGTATGGATACTAAATGTAATGTAGTGGATTAAAAAGAGTGGTATCAACAACTCACCTGACATCATTTAATTCATAATACACATTTCTGCTTTCATCTTTGATATAAATGGCGACACTTGGCGACTCCAGCATTTTCATGGTGAGCTGCTGTGGAAAGGCACTTACAAAGAGAGCACGGATTGTGTCTGCACTTGTAATTTCATTCGGCATCCTGAGCTGCTTGGTTTCATCTCCATACTGAAGATACAGAACTCCTGTGCACAAACGAAACACATTTATCAGTCCAAGTCGGGACTCCACAGAACAGTGCAGGCTCAGCCACACCAACCAAATACATGCAGAAATGCCCAGAACAAGACTGGAGCACTATGTTTGCAAATGCCAAGAGCTATGACTCTCTAGTTTTCATATTACTGCTGCTGTGTGCTGTTGGGTCAGAATCAACTCACAGCTGAGCCTCCATTGGGTTTTCAGAGGCAATAAATCACATGGGAAGAGACTGCCCATCCTTCTCCCATGGAACATCTGCTGTGTTAGAACTGAGTGCCACCAGTATTTACTTTTAATTTTGTGGAGTTTAGGAGGTGCTAGACTAAAGCCAAAAACAATACTGGCAAGATCCAGGCTACAGATGAGATCTATTCATCTGTCTTTAAAATATGGAGGTAAGTTGGAACAGGTGCATACAGTTATTACTTAGTTTTGCTTTAGTGCAAGAATGGTGGCCTGGGAACACAGTGTTCAGCATTAGGACTGGTTAGTGAAAGGCCAGCAGTTCGGATCCACCAGTTGTTTCTTGGGAGACTGATGAGCAGCTTCCTCCAATAAAGATTTACAGCTTTGGAAATCTGACAGAGGGCTGTCATAAGTTGGAAATGACTCAGTGGTAGTGGACTTGGGTTTGGCCTTAGGATAAGAAAAGACTTGAAGCCTTTTCCGTGATTAAAGGCTGTGTGTTTGCTGCAAATGAAGATGACTACAGTGAAAACTTTGAGAATAAGGGTTGAAAATTTTGTGCAAGTAATTTTAAAAGTGAGGGTAAATTTATATTAACATCAAAGGCCAAGTACTAAATTGGACAACCTAATGTACTATAGGGAGCCTTGGTGCCCCAGTGATAAGGAGTTATGCCAATTCAAAAGTGGTGGTAGTGGTTGTTGAGTACCACTGAGTTGGATCTGACCCTCCAGAGGGTTTTCAGAGACTGTTAATCACACAGAAGGAGATTATCTATTTTTCTCCCACAGAGTAACTGGTAGATTCAAACCTCATGCCTTCGGGATTGCAGCTCAGTTTCTTATCATCGGGCCACAAGAGCAGAGTTCAAATGTGTCATCTCCTCAGTGGGGAAAAAGATGGGCAATCTCCTTTCATATAATTTTCTGCCTCTAAAAACCTCTTGGAGAGTCAGCTGTGAGTCAGTTCTGACTCAAAAGTATACAACAAACGACTCATGCTCATGGTTATAGCAAGGGTAAGTTATCCATTTAGAAACATCTTAGTTAAATGACTGACACTGTTTCTGTACCTCTAATACTTATCAAATTTTCATCCCACATTAAATTATCTATAAGAGAAAGATCTGACATTGCAAAGTTCCAGCAGCAATATGGAAAAAGGAGTGAGTTATACAATGCCGAGTATGAGCATCACCCATTGCTGTGGAGTCAACTCACAGAGATCCTACAGCGGAGAACTGCCCTGCCAGGTTTCCAAGGCTTCCACATCACACCCCAATGGAAACACTCATGGGTTTGAATTGCTAGCCTTTTGGCTAGCAGTGTGATTTTTAACTATTGAGTCAATAGGGGTCCTTATCAAGAATATAGATTCACAGAGTTTTGGACTTCCAAGGGCTATGTGCCTCCACAGAACCCTGCCTCCTGGCTATCACATTCTTCTTTTTAGTTCTTCCCATACTGAGTCTAGGTTTCACCATGAGACTTGCTTTGTCAAATGGGACATAAAAAATAGAATAAAAGTGGTGACTCAAGAAGTATTTGCACTGGAGTTTGTCCTCTTGACAAACTTGATCTTTGGCAACTTCAGCTCCTAGGAGTTCAAGCTATTCATGTAGTGAAGAATCCAAACTCTGACTGACAGCTGAGGCAAAAATGTCCATACTCTGGCCAATAGACACATGAAAAAATGCTCAAAATCACTGGCAGTAAGAAAGATGCAAATCAAAACCACAACAAGATACCATCTCGCCCCAGGAGAAGTGGCAAAGTTTAATCAGACAGCAAGTAATAAATGTTGGAGAGGATGTGGCAAGATAGGAACTCTTATACATTGTTGGTGGAATTGTAAAATGGTACAACCACTCTGGAAGGCAATTTGGCATTTTCTCAAAAAGCTGAACACAGAAATTCCATATGACCCTACTAGTCCCCTGCTTGAGACACACCCTGAGAATATTAGAACTGAGACATAAAGGGAGATTTGTACACCAATGTTCATACTAGCATTATTCACAATCATAAGAACATGAAAACAGTCCAAAGTCCAACTACAACTAAATAGATTGAGAAATTATGGTACATTCACACAATGGAATACTATGTAGCACTTAGGAGCAATGATTTAGAAAATTACTACGTATCTTGGTAGGGACTGGAGAACATTATGCTGAGTGAACTAACTCAGTCCCACAAAGGCAAACACTGTATATGACTGTTATTGTAAACACAGAAGGATAACTAGTAAGATTTGTATAAAAGTATGGAGGAGGAAGAGGAGGGAGGATGAGGGTGGAGAGGAGGAAGATAAATCACTGGGTCACAGAGTTTGGTGGGTGGAGAGAGGGACTGAGGAAATTAGGGAAGACCCAGTGGGAACCTGAAAGGACAGGATGATAATGGGCATAAAGACAACTTTTTTTTTTAAAGTCAGCTCTAATGATCATCAAAGCAGATTGAATATCCAGGAGAAGGCAAGAAAATATCTCTCAGAGTGGGACAGAAAAAGGTAAAGAGGAGGAGAAAAGGAAAGAATCATTGGAGACCATCCTAATTATAGGATGTTTAATAAGAGAGATCAGGAAAAAGTTTTCAATACATTAAGAATTTTCCCCCAAAACTAAAATACTTGAGATTTCTGACTGAACAAGCTCATCAAATACTCACACAAGACTCATTACAGAGACATGTCAGATGACGAGAGGTAAACAGAGGATCCTAACAACCTGCAGAAGTTTAAAAATAAAAATGCATACAAAGGAGCTGGAGTCAGAAAGGCATTACCTTTCTCAACAGCAATCTGAGGAAACAAAGGAAAATAGGGCAAAGCCTTCAAAAATCTGAGGGGAAATATTTTCTATCTAGGTCTCTACCCCTCCAAACCATCCATCAATGATGAGTGGAGGATAAAAATATTTTTCAGGCATGCATGAGGCTTGAAAAATCTACCTCCCATGCACTCTTTCTCAGGATGCTATTTGAGGATATGCCTCAGAAAAAAAGGATAATGTTTTAAAAATTTAAAAATTAGCATTTAACCAAGAAAGACAAAGCTATGGGAGCAAGGAACCAAGGCACCAACCTCACAGAGTGACAGAGGAAACTCTTGGGTTAATGGCACAGAAGGTCCAGGAGGACAGCTGTGCACAGCATCTGGAGAGCAAACTCAGATCAGATCAGACAAACAGAAAGTTTCAGAAGGGGCGTCACCAAAAAAAGATTAGGGAGAAAAACACAGATAGGATGACACTGGTGGGATGGGGAAATGTTTCTATTCTGTATGAGAGTTTCCAATCACTTAAACAAAGCACACAGAAATATGAGCAAATAAAAACTCAAGGCAATTAGTGGTTTTAAAAATATCACACATTTGCACAAAAAAAAGACATTTTAAACATATAATGTTGTCTAGTTCAACTCTGAATCATGTTTATATAATCACGTTTTAATTATTTAAAAGGAAGAATGTGAATTGTGGTGTTGGCCAAGAGTACTGACTATCCCATGGGGTTGCCAAAAGAACAAACAAATCTGTCTTGAAGAAGTGCAACCAGGCTGTTCTTCAGAGGCAAGGGTGATGAAACGTAAGTGTCCTGTGTATTGGGTATGTGGTCAGCAGAGGCCAGTCCTTGGAAAAAGACAACATGCTATAAAGGGTGGAGAGTCAGTGAAAAAGAAGGAGATCCTCAAGGAGATAATTTGACAACAGCGATTACACCAATGGGCATGAGCGTGGTAGAGATTGTGGGGATGGCACAGGATAGGGCAAGGTTTCCATCTGTTGCTCACAGAGTCTCTGATTTGTAGTTAACTCGATAGCATCTAACAGCAACAACAATGCAAATAATTTGGGGAAATATATGTGGAGGCATCTAAGATATGGGTGACCAGTTGCCACTGAGTCGATTCCAAGTCAGGTGAGCTCAGTTGTGCTCCAGAGTTTTTAATGGCTGATTTTTGAGAATTTGACCATCAAGTCTTTCTTCTAGGGTGGCTTTGGCTGGATGTGTAACCTCTAACTTTTTGGCCAGGAGCCAAGAACTTAACCATTTGCCCCACCAATGGAAGCTACAGTTTATCTTCATTTTCCAGAGCAGGAAGTTAGTGGAAATATGTGAGTGAACAAGGTGAGACCCCCCCCCCCCAAAAAAAAAAAAAGGCCACAAATTGATTGATCTCATGTAGAAGAACTCTCTAGAACAGGAAAAACTATACAAACATTTATTAAGGATGTCAGGATCTGGAGGGAGAAAGGATGGCGTTATTACTGACCGTGGACTGAGTTTCCATCTGGGGTGATGTAAACTCTTTAGAAACAGTAGCAGACACAGCACAACACAGTGAACATAGTTAATTCCACTAAACTGCACATGTGAATTTTGCTAAAATGTCAAATGTTTACTTACATATGTATTTCCCACAATTAATTTTTCCCCCCTCATTTAACTGAGAATATGAAAAATGTGTGATGGCTTAGGAAAAAAATCATAAATAAATAAAATAATGGTTTTCTCTGTTATATATTTCACAACAAAAAATTTAAAAGATGCAAACAGTATTTTTTAAAAACAAAAACAAAACAAACCCAAACCCTGTTCACCTTTTAAATGAAAATCTTAAAAGAGATGTTCCCATAAAGGGCAGACAGACCTCTCTTATTCCCTTGACCAGCTGTACAACTTTCCTGCAGGATAACTAGTAGGTATTTAGATTTTGTTGTGTTTTTTTGTTGATTTTTTTTAATGTCTCAATTATCTTTTATTTGCAGTCTGACCTTCTATATGCTGGTAACTTAA